ACACACACACACACACACACACACACACACAAACGCGTGCGCGCGTGTGCGCGCGCGCGCGCGCGCGCACAAGAATCCACTACAATGTTAACTAGGTATTGAGGCATGCTCGAATGAGTCATTCAACAGCGAAGGGGCATGGCGATGGGGAGATGCTGCGGAAGTAAACTCAGCCTCATAGGATGACTAGAGAGGGAAGCAGGCGAACCATTCATTTAAGTGCTTGAGATATTACTTTGTTATTAGTTTTCAAATTTTATTTAATTGTATGAGTTTTGCCTGCATGTATTTCTCTTTTTAAAAACCTATTTGTCATGTGTATGTGCGTTTTGCCTATGCGTATGTATATGCAACATCTGTGTGTCTGGTAAGTGAGGAGGCCAGAAGAGGGTGTTGGATCAAGAGGGAGTTACAGATGGCTGCGAGCCACTATGTAGGTATTGGGAATTGAGCTCAGAGGCAAGAGGCCAGAACTCTTAACTGCTGAGCCATCTCTCCGGCCCCACTTAGTTTATTTGTATTTTCTTAGTACTAGGGAATGACCCCAAAGATAAATCAAACTTTAACCTGGGGCAACTATGAGGATGACAATAAGGTTACAGATAGGGGCTGGAGAGATGGCTCAGTGGTTAAAACACTAGTTACTCTTCCAGAGGATCCGAGTTCAATTCCCAGCTCCCACATGGCAGCTCACAATGTTTTGTGACTTTAGTTCCAGGGATCTTAGCCCTTTTCTGGTTTCTCTGGGGACCTGTCATCCATGTGGGACACAGACATATATGGAGGAGGCAAAATACCTATATAATAAAAATAATTACAAAACAAGTTACAGATGCCAGGAACAAAGGCTAAAAAGATGGTCATAAAGAGAACAATAAAATCGTGCATGAAATTGTTCACAAGCATATGAAGAGCCATCTAGAATATAACTGGGGATGTGTGTGGCACTGAACATAGATCTTGGTGCCACAGTAGCATCCCCCCCTAGACTTTTTATTTTGAGATGGGGTCTCACTAAGATGCTCAGGTTGACCTTAAACTTGTGATTCGTTAGCCTCAACCTCCCCAGTACTAGCAGGGTTACAGACCTACACTACCAGCCTAGTTTAGAATTTAACTTTTGAAAATACTGGATGTTCAAGGCTACAAGAAGCTACACTTATTCATGCCTATCTCCCACAGATATAGAGTAAGAAAGAACAGGATAGAAAGCCAAGAGCAAGCGGAAGTCAGTTTAGTGGAAAAATACTGTCTAATCTCAATACAGCACTCACAAAATAAATGAGATAATTATAAGAAATTGAAACATAAATCAACACATCATTATTCTTTCTCTCAAAACAGTTATTGCAAGCAATCCAAACATTATTCAGAGGTAGAATTTAAGTAAATATGTAGCTTGAACACTGTTACTGAGCAACAATTTCAGTAAAATATCCAAGTTCCCTTTAACCTACTTGGAGAGCACTTGGCAAAGCAGCCAGTGCCAAGGTTGTGTGTGTGTGTGTGTGTGTGTGTGTGTGTGTGTGTGTGTGTGATTTATTTAGACTTCCTGCTGATAACGTTATACCACTGAAGTACTTTACCTTCAAGAATTAAAAACAATTTAAAAACAATTGAAACCATCTTTAAAGACTGTTTTACAGTTACTCATTTTACTTTATTGCTTTAATTATCGTTGATCCACGTTCCCGCTTACTGCTCCTATCAAACCAGAGGCTGTACATCTGTCTCTAGAAGCAAACTCCAATCCAATGTCAGAGAGCTTGTATAATCATTCTGGGGTGTTCACCAAAGGACGTTTACTCCACCGACAAGAAGGCACTATGGAAGGTAGCATGTCTTGAATATACCATTTATATCGACTTAGCCAAACTGAGACAAAATGACATCACCTGGAAGCCAGGCTGGTGGAACAGGGCTGTAAATCCCAGCTACTCAGTAAAATGGGGCAGGAAGACAGCAAGTTCAAGGACTGCCAGGGCTACCCAGAAAGCTAAAGGCCAGTGTGGACAACTTAGTTTGACACTACTCAAAATAAAAAGCAAAGAAGAGGGCCGAGGGTACAGCTCAGTGATGGAGTAATCACCCAGCATGTGCAAGGCCCTAGGACTGACTGTACTACAGAAAAATAAGATAAAAATAGCAAATTCATTTGGAATAAGTGTCAGAAAAATAACTAGTTATGGAGAGAAATCAGGTCCCTACAGCCCATCATATGTAGACTTATTTTAATGCTTAAAGCTTTCATTTCACACTGTGTTTTTGAGACAGGGTCTTGGTATTTAGCTCAGGTTGGTCTTGATTGGCTCCCCTGGAGCTGGAGTTACAGGCAGCTGGGAAATGATCTGGGGCCACTGGAGGAACAGGAACTGCCAGTAACTACTGAGCTGCTTCTCTAGCCCCCAGCTCTTCATCTCTTATAGCATTAAACCTACTGAAATTATTGCTAAATTGTGGTATGGTAAACACAGTGCTAATCCCTAGAGCCAGAAAACGGGCTTGGACTTTGGCTAGATGATCCACTGGCCCTGTGATCTCGAGTGTGTTACTTTACTCAAATCACGGATAGGCCAGGTGCGGTGGAATAATCCCAGCTACTAGAGAGAGAGCAGGAGGCTCACTGAAGCCCAGAATTTGGGTCCAATTTGGGTAATACACTCAGATTTTGTGTCTACTGAAAAAAGAAACAAAAACAAACAAAAAAAAACAAATCTCTCATGCCTGTCTTTTCCAACTTGGGCCCGGCAGAACGGCCCCCACGAAGAAGGGTGGCAAGAAGACGAACAGCCATTCTGCCATCAATGAGGCAGTGACCCAAGAACACACAATCAATGTTCACAAAACGTGGAGTGGGCTTCATGAAGTCTCCCCCTTGTATGCTCAAAGAATCTGGAAATCTGCCATGAAGGAGATGGGAACTCCAGATGGGAACTCCAGATGTGCACACTGATGCCAGGCTCACGAAAGCCATTTGGGCCAAAGGAGTAAGGAACGTTCCATATCATATCCACGTACATTTGTCCAGAAAACATAATGAGGACAAGGACCTACACACTGGCATCTTACATGCCTGTTACCACATTCAAAAATCTACAGTCGATGTGGATGAGAACCAACCTGCTGAATCTCAACTAAAGTCTCAGAACTGCCAACAACTACAACAAACCAATAAAGAACCAGGGATAATGCCCTTTACTTCACAATATGGCAAGGGAATTCATTCAACTGTTTATTACGCAAGTTTTTATTGATCTTAGAAAATTAGTAAAAGCACAGTTATCATGTATGAGTTAATATTTTTTTATTATTTTACTAAATTATTTTCTAGTTTTATGGCAACTGAGGTTAGCTGTAACTGAGGTTCTGAGTAAACATCTCAAATACAATGTTCTACCCCCCCCCCCAGATAGGGTTTCTCTGTAACTTTGGAGCCTGTCCTGGAACTCACTCTGTAGACCAGGCTGGCCTCGAACTCACAGAGATCCACTTGTCTCTGCCTCCCAAGTGCTGGGATTAAAGGCGTTGCTACCTCTGCCTGGCTAAATACAATGTTCTTAAGAACACAAGGCTGGGGGTGCAGCTCAGTGATACAGCAGTGAACAAGGCCCGGATCAGTCTTCAGCACAGCAAGAAGCAAACCCTGTAAGTGTGCAATTTCTGACTTAAAGGACATGAGATGCATGTAGCTTGCTTTCTTCACTTTCAAGAGAAGCAAATATAAAGTTAGGGAGTAAGAAATGCATAGGTGCAGTGGAACAGGATTACATGCCTTCCATGATCAAGTATAGGCAATGATTTTTTTCCCTCCCATGTTCCTTCTGTTTGATGTTTTCTTTTGGAGACAAGATTATTGTCTTAAGTTCCTGTTTCCTTTATTTTGAAATTAGCAAAGTTCTCAATCTCGGCCATACAAGGTTTGTCAGACACAACCGTAGAGGGAGGGAGCCAAAGAGGTCACTCGGCACAGCGGTCACTGCCTTCATTTTCTTTTCATCTGTAGTGTTTTCTAAGGCCATCCTTAAAGACTTCACATTTACCAATGTTCTGAGGCATTTTCCTATGACCAAAACCACCTCTCCATAACACTGAGAAAAAGGTTGGCACACAGGTTGTATCAGGTAAAAAAAAAAAAAGGCAAAAAACCCTTTGTCAATTACCAGGCTTACCTATGCCTGGATTTTGGGTTTTTACCGAGCTGGCTTACCCTGTCACTACTAAGGATACTCTCTAGAACATTGAGAGGTAGAGGACGAATTTGAAGTGCTAAAGTAGAATGACTCATTTGATACTTGCATAACTGTTTAAGAACATTACATGATGTTCACATTCTCTCAGCAACCATCTTAGCAGCTTTAAGCATTGAGTGTTTTCACATCAGGATGAAGTCACAAGGCTGTTTTCAAGGAGGAAATGGCCACTATAGAGCTAGCCAGAGTTGGTAGTAGTTACTACACACCTGTAATCCTTCTGAGTTCAAGGTCATCTTAGGCTACAAAACTATACTTTATCTCAAAACTATATTTATCTCAAGAAATAAACAAAACCCAATAGTAACTTACAAAAAGAACGAACACACACACACACACACACACACTCACACACAGATGTACACACATACACAGACAGACACACAAACTTTTTGAAGCAAATAGGTGACATTTATCTGTTCCCGGGGGAGAAAAGTGACTTTTTATCTTTCTACTACTGGTCTGTTAGGAAAAAGCACACTGACAAAGGGTATGTTTAGACTACTTTCCCTCCTCCAAGTACTAGGAGAGGACCCAGGGTCCCACGCAGGAACCTATATTCTCAGTCCCTGTTGATCATTTTTACTTTCAGTATTTCTGCGTATTCTGTCCCAGGCCATACATCATCCTGTTTTCACTCTGGCAGTTTTCTTTCTTACGGCAACCACTAACTTACGGCAACCACTAACCATTCTACCTTAGTCACTGCTGAGTCAGGGACTGGAGTTCCATTTCCCCCATTGTTCTTACTTGTGCACTCTCTGCATGTTCCAGCATCTCTTCAAATTCCTGATACTCTTCATCATCTGGTTCAGTGCCTGAGAGGCGAGCTGCCCTGGCCATGAAATATGGAGGCAGCTCTCCAATGGCTGTACCAATACCCTGTGTGAAAAAGAAAAAGAAAAACAAAAATAAAAACTTACTGTGAGGTTTAGTTTTCAGCATAGTAACACAAAAAAATCAAATTATATTTTTCTATATTTCCAAAAGCATTTTGAAATATATACATCTGCTCATAATTCAAAGTTTGGGAGTCTGAATCCTACTTCTGACTTGTAAGCCAGGTGAGAAAGAAGAAATAGATTCTGAGACACTCCTAGGCGCATGACAGACTCATATAACGTCTCTCCTTAGGCTCTGGGGCCTTCAGTGCTTCCTTCACGGTTTCAATCCAAATGATGTGATAGGTAAGAAGAAAGTCTCTATCACTTGGAAGGCACAAGTTAGAATATCAGAAGTTTGAAGCTACAAAGTAAAATCTATCTCAAAACCAAAACCAAACCCTCCAAACATGAAACAAAAATCACCAGGACAGCCATTAGATTAAAATTCTCCAGGACATTTCAGATAATCTCAATATAGCCTTTTCTTTTCTTTCTTTCCTTAAAAAACAAACAAACAAAAAACCCTGAAACAAACTGCAGCCAAGAAGCCCCTGAAAACTTAGCATCAGGATGGGTGATTGTTAATACAGGATTTAAAAATGTCCCATTTCCTCAGTGATTCACACTTCAGTCACTTTGTAGATTTATGTTTTTGACGAGAAGGTTTTCGTTGCTGTTGTTTTTCCTTAATCGGTTCAGGACATAAAGACGAAAACAAAGTTTAGACTTAAGCAGCTTAAATACCAGACAGACCATAATACGACAGAGACAGTCTCCGGAGAAACCTTCACCCCGAGCCAGACAGACCTGGTCCCCTGCTCTGAGTCACAGTGAATAAAGGGTTTGCTAGGTCACAAAACAAACTCAACTCCTTCAGCTAGCTCTGCTCTAAACTCACTGAAAGAGCCCTTGAGGGGACTGGAGAGAAGATGGTCCAGTGGTTCAAGGTGCAAACGGCTCTTGTAGAGGCCCCAAGTTCGGTTCCCAGCACCCACATCAGGCAGCTCACAACTGCCTGGAACTCCAGCTCCAGGGGATCGGACACTTTCTTTTGGCCTTCGCAGGCAGCTGCACTCACGTGTACACATTCACATATATACAAATGGTTACATTATGATTAAAAATAAATTTTAAAAAAGCACCAGGTGTGGCGATGTACCCCTTGAATCCCAGTACTCATTGAGGCAGAGGCAGGGAGATGCTTGTGGGGTTGAGGTCTTGTCTAAAAAGAATCTTTGAAGGAAATTATCAAATTTAAACATTTTGTGTCTTTAGTGTATAAAACCAGCAGTCTCCAAGCATAAATCCATTATCTACATGTGAAATAAGAACTTTGAAAAAGACATGTTTAAGTGCCCCAAAGTAAGTCTGTGTTGAAGAAGAGAGGAAGAGAGAGGTGAAAGAGCCAGGTGTATGGAGGGGAAAAGAAACAAGAGAAATTAAGGTTGATTAGCTTTGGAGGACACAACAGAGAAACAAGACATTCATTTTTAAAATGCAAAGGATTAAATATGTATCCTTATTTTCATATATGAACTTAATCTCAGGACAACCAAATTGGTGATGAGGAAATCTTTTCTACGAAGTCCTCAAAGCTGGGTATGGAAGCGCGTGCCTGTAAGCCTCTGAGGATAAGAGGTTAGACAGAGATTCGAAGACAATCTGGGCAGCAGAGTAAGACACTTTCTTAGAGGAGAAAAAGGTATTTTAATTAATAACCCAAAATTATACTTGGAACATTACTATTTTTTTTTAAAGATTTATTTATTTATTATATAGTGTTCTGCCTGCATGTGCCCCTGCAGGCCAAAAGAGGGCACCAGATCTCATTACAGATGACTGTGAGACACCTTGTGGTTGTTGGGAATTGAACTCAGGACCTCTGGAAGAACAGCCAGTGCTCTTAACCTCTGAGCCATCTCTCCAGCCCCAGAACACTACTATTTTTCTGAATGGTTCTCTGTATTACAGCTATGGCTGTTCTGGAACTCACTTTGTAGACCATGCTGGTCTCGAAACTTACAGAGATCCACCTGCCTGTCTCCCTAGTGCTAGGATTAAAGGCTTGTGCCACCACCTCCCAGCACCAGTGCTAATGTCACAAAGGATTCATTATTGCACCTTGTGACAGAAATACACAAAGCTATTCCTGTTAAAAACATAAACTATGCCTGGGAATGGTGGAGTACACCAGGCAGGCGGATACTAAACCAACCTGGTCTACATAGTGAGTTTCAGAAACCACAGCTACACAGTGAGAGCCTGTCTCAATTAAAACAAACAAACAAACAAACAAACAAAAAACACCTAAAACTAAAACAAACAAACAAACAAAAAAAAAACCCTCAGCCAGGCGGTGGTAGCCCATGCTTTTAATCCCAGTACTCGGGAGGCAGAGGCAGGTGGATCTATGGAGTTCTAGACCAGCCTGGTCTACAGAGAGAGATCCAGGACAGCCAAGGCTAAACAGATTGTCTCAAAAAGCTAAAACAAAAATCAAAGACTCCCATAAACTTCAAGGATCTCAATGTATCAACTCACAGGAAACTCAGGAAACAGAGGCAGCCAGTAAAATCAGCACTTGGGAAACCATTTGACAAATTCTTTTACTCAGTCAACAAGCTTGAAAAGAAAAATAACAGTTAAGAAAATTTACCCAGCCAGGCATGGTGGCACATGCCTTTAATCCCAGTACTTGGGAGGAAGAGGCAGTCGGATCTCTGTGAGTTTGAGGCCAGCCTTGTCTATATAGCAAGTTCCTAGCCAACCAGGGATTTGCAGAGAAACCCTGTCTTCAAAAACAAAAACAAAGCCGGGAGGTGGTGGCGCACGCCTTTAATCCCAGCACTCAGGAGGCAGAGCCAGGTGGATCTCTGTGAGTTCGAGGCCAGCCTGGGCTACCAAGTGAGCTCCAGGAAAGGCGCAAAGCTACGCAGAGAAACCTTGTCTCGAAAAACCAAACAAACAAACAAACAAACACAAAACAAAACAAAAAAAAAAGGAAATTTAACCTTTTAACCATTAAGTAGACAATGACTTTAAAAAAACGACTACTAATTCCTTTTAATGTGTATAGTAAATTCCAATGATCTATTCATGCAAGCCCTAAGGGAATACATTAGCTCTAAGACAGGTGAACATGAAACACTAGTTGCAGTTTGGTAAAAGTACATGAAGTTCATTTTATTTCTTTCTGTACTTTTGGGAAACTTAAATTAGCAACAATGACACTTCAGATAAACCTCATTGGCTACAAAATTACCAATGTGCAAAGCTGAACTTTTCTTTCCATAATAGAAAATAGAAAAAAGTTCATTACAGCATTTTAGTTCCTATGTAACTTCTCTAAGTTCCAATGTGAAGTCAAACGTCAACCACCCTGAAGCAATCATCTGATTCAGACTTGTGACCAGTTTCCTCAAAGCTAATAAGGAAGTAGCACAATGGAGTGAAAATAAATCAAGAGCGGTGTCTGCTCTTAGCTGATCACACTGATTTTTATATTTTAATGCTTCATATTTTTCATAAGAGAAAAAGAATGGTAATCATGTTAGTAGTCAACTACTGGACAAATAAATAAAAGGACTATACTCATCCAGGCAGGTTCTCAAAAACATATTACATTAGACACAAAGTTAGTTACCTCAAATCAGGCACTGAGGACTCAGGCTTCCATGGTTCTTAAAAATAATTTTATAAGGCTGTAGCTTACTTGGTGAAGTGTTGCCTAGCATACATGAAGCCCTGGGTTTGACCCCCACCATAGCATAAATTGGTAAATTCCTACAATCTTGAGATAGATAGACACAGGAGGATCAGACATCAAAGTCATCCTTGGCTACATTATGGGTTCAAGGCCAGTGTGGGACACATGAGACTTTGTCACAATAATAATGATGGTGATGATAATGTTCTAATTTCTTTTTGAAGAAAAAGTGGCGTTCAGCACCCCACTGCTCCCTCTCTACTTTGGACCTGGAATGGCTTTTAAAGGCCTATAAGGCAAGGGTGTGGCCCTACATTGGGACTATGAGGAGGAGGCAGAACCTTGATGAAGTGTGGCCTGTTGGAAGGTTTTCGATTCCTCCAGTCTCTTCTTTTTTGTTCCTCATATGCTATGAAGTGGGCAGCATGCTCTGCCGACTCCCTGTCCACCTCAGGCTCCACACAGAGCCCAGTGGTTACGGATTAGAACTCCCCAAACTGAAAGCCAAAGTAGCCTTTATCTCAGGTATCTGTTGTACTAATAAAATACTCACTCACACAGATGCAAACTGAAAGATACTGATCAAATCTATCAAAGAATTCCTTCTATGTGCTCCAAAGGACATATGAAGAACGTGGAAGTGAGGTTACTAACTAGAAGTGACATAAATGATAATGGCTTTGTTGATTTAACATACTCATGATAGTGAAGTCTAGAAGGATATTTTAATTTGAAAATTAGATTAAAAACTTTTCAGCAAGATATCATTAAGTCAAGCAAGACATTCCTCAAAAAAAAAAAAAAAAAAAAAAAGTAAACACAAAACCAAACTTTAAAATTAGGTAAACTCTAGCAATCAAGGCCACTGTACATTCTAAATCAGGTTTCAGGTTTCCATACCTAGGAACTGTCGACATTTTAAGAGTGTATGTCAGCCGGGCAGTGGTGGCACATGCCTTCAATCCCAGCACTCGGGAGGCAGAGCCAGGCGGATCTCTGTGAGTTCGAGGCCAGCCTGGTCTCCAAAGTGAGTTCCAGG